GCATCCTGCATTAAGCTTGATACCTCCGGGTGTACCTTACTGAGCTGCAATATCTACTAGAGTTACCAAGATAGTGGAGATTTTAGCCTTTTAGCCTTAAAATACACTTAAATGGCGACGATCTGACGATATATGTACGTAAAATTCCATTATGCCATGCTGTTGAGGTATATGTATGTACTTATGTAAGTAATCTTGAAAAGCTGTTGTCGCTTTATTATTTATCATTATAATTGTTTATTTTTTTTTTCAATTTTTACTTTCTAATTAATATGTTTTTTTGTTTTCGTGTTCTCTCTTTACCACCTGTCACTACACCAAAATCACATGCAACGCTTACAACAATGACATGCGTGTAACCGATTAATTTGTACAGTTGTTTTCTCCAGCTCGGTAATCTTTGTTTCGTGTGGTCAATTTGTCAGTGATTTACAAAAATATTTGACAATTCTGATTTCCTCAAAAACAAATAAAAAAATGCATATATATAGGGTTTTCCAATAAGAGGTACTGGTGTCAAAGAAAATTTTGATTTTTTTAAAATGATCGGATTTATTTCAATGTCTCGAAAGTAAACGATCAACACAAAGCATTAATCATCTATCAACTATCGATAGCGCAATGCATTCATAGTAACTGTTGCTCCAGCCTTATTTTCGAAAAAGTTAGGTTCAATGATCCCACCCGACTATAAACCGCACAAAACAGTTTCACTTTGTGGATGGAGCGGCCTTTAAACAATAAATCTTGTGTTTTCCGAGCACCATATCGTACAGTTTTGCTTACTGATGTAGCCATCGAGGTGGAAATGGACCTAATCAGTCTAGATGATCTTTCGATGAAATTCCGGATCAGCCATTCAGCAAAGACACGACATTGCTAATGGGTTCTTTTGTTGACAGAACTTTATAAGCCTTAATATCAAAGTATTTATGAGGAAAAAGGTGTAATGACGTTTGTGGATTGCACAGGAATGAGCAGAACGGGGTTTGCTCTTCAAAAATTTAGGCTACAGCAGCAATATTCTCAGTGGTTCTTAAACGACGTGCGCGTGCTTTATTCCTCACGTCATCAATATGTTCCAAAAGCAACATTTTTTCCAATAATTTCTGTATTGTGGTCCGACAAGTTGCTTCACGACGGCCGAAAAATGTTTTTGTAGCAAATTTTAATAATTTCAATGCGTTGTTTTTACATTGCTGAAGCAGTTTTTGCTTGTCAATTGTCAAAAAATGACAGCTTCAAAAGTGACATCTAGCGGAATAGCGGGCTATTGAAAGCAACACCTCTTATTGGAAGACCCTTTACTATACTGCACTTTCCACTTTACTTACTTGCCATGCATTTTGAGTGAAAATTATTGCTGACGCATTGATCATGAGGCATATATCATATATATGTACATACATACATATATGCATATATAAAAAAATCAGTTGATTGAAAAATTTGTAGCAGTCGATTAGTGTTGGCATTTACGAGTTGATGAAATCGTAAAAAGAAAGAAAGAAAGAAAGAAAAAAAAACCGGTACAATTTATTGTTGCGGCACACACTGGCATACATACATACATATATAATATATAAATGCCATAAAAATGAGTATCTAACTATGAGTGCCAGTTATATTTTTATTCCGCTCTCATTCTCTCTCTCTCTCTCAACGCAACGCATACGTAAGCGCTCTCTTACATTGTTGCACGCTTGCGTTTACTTGGCACTCTTGCTGTCACGAACCTTACTTTTAAATCGCTTTTAAAAAGCGTTTGCTTCAACCTTTCCAACTCTTTAACGCTATGATAGCTTTTTTTGTTGCTGTTTTATATATGTGTGTACGTACGTATAATTCTTGCCACCACATGCTGGCCCAATCGCCCACATTTTACTCATGCTGTGCCGCATGCAGTATGCAGTGTTGCATTTGTACTGCGGTATGTATGTATTGGTGAAAATTCAATACTAGTTGAATTAAAATTCTTTTTTTTTTTTCGTTCATAACTGATGCCGCCAATACGTTGCCTCGCCGTGTTGTGTTTATTAAAATATGACACGCTTCAGTTCGAACAATCAACGCCGCCGGCTGTGTCGCTAGACATCGTGATTATGCATTCAAAAGTCATTTCCATATACAGAAAGATACACGATGTACTCGTATGTACATATGTATGACGAGTCGTGCCACACGTTCACTCGATTCGCTCGTTCGTTTGTTCATTCGTCGTTTATACCGCAATATTAATTTTGGGTGCAACAGCGAATGAAGACTACGTGATTCGTGATTTCATTCTCAAGCTAAGCAATTGCATGCCATGCTCAACGTTTGTATGACGTTTGCGTGGCGTAATCAGGCAGTGGGCCATAAGCAAATTTGTTTCGCTTGCTCTTCGGTTATACGTATGTATGTATGTAAATGCAAATAAAATTTGCTCCAGTTTTTTTTTTATATATGTATGTATACAGCATTTCAATACCGGTAGCCTAAAAGGGGAGTTGTTGTTGTGGGGTCTACACACATTTTTCCAACCGCAACTAATTCTCTATACCAACTCCTACCTTTCGCCGCACAACGAGCGTAGCATTTGTCGCACTTAAGTGTAGTAGCACGTTCGGCTGCATTCGCCCACGCATACACACTCCTTTCCTCATTCGCTGCTGCTGCTGCTGCAGCTGCTGCAGCTGCCATCCCTTTTCGATGTCAATCGGCTTTTGCGGTCGCCAGTCGGTGTTACTCGTCGTATTTAGTTTTGGCTGTAATATAACCGACTTTTGTTTGTGTTTTTCTGTGAATGAAATCGTAATATGACCTTTTACAATTTTATTAATACGCATACCGCTACACAGGCATGCAGCTAGCTAACGACACCTGACATCCAGCCGAAAGCCGATGGTTTTTCGTTTCAAAATACCTCGTCAGCTCGTCAGCATATCAACGTCATAGGGCAACATAATCGTCACTGCAAAACGTAATCATCATTATTTATTCTACCATTGAAATTGGTCGTGGTAAATGCAACAACTGCGGCTCTTAGTACAATACATACGATTTTCAGTTTATTGACATTACCTTTTCAACCGGTATTATAGTACTCGCACTCGCAGTCGCTTTAACAAGGCACACATATGTACATACGTTCGTGTAAGCAAGCGCCAAAAAATAAAAAAAATAAACCAACTCGGACATTCTAAAGCATACACCAAACTCCAAACTCTGCCTTCTAATTTTTGCTTTGACTGGAAAATTTTTTTTTTGTTAGATGAATATGGTTGCCGGCGATATCATATTTCAGGAACATAAGCAAGCGTATACAATAGTACGCGGGCGTTTAATTTTGTTGTAGAAATTTTCGTTTTTATTTTGCTGCAACGTGCATGGAGCATAGCCAATTATATCATGCTTAGCACTGCCTTTTATTCCCCTCAGATTGCATGAGGCGCGTGTGTTGTGTGGGCGCAAGTAGGGAGAGAGAGGAAGACATTTGTTCACTGAAAGTGATTTCTAAGAATTGTATTTGTACGAATTCACTTAACAAATAAGGAAGAAAGCAGCTGCACCAAGTGCTTCTATTTTATGCGTAATCAATACGGAGAAAACAAATAAATTCAGAAAAACAATTTATAAAAGTTATAAACCTACTCAGTTTTTCCACTATCGAAAAATTAAGAGTGAAACTAAATACTGTGTAATCGATTCAATGAAGAGAAAGAGAAATCCCTAAACTATGAGGAATTAACAGGGGTTGAGGATTTAAGAGGGAAACTAATTGCAATACTATCGTCTAATGTAGAGGCAGAGAGGCATCAATAGGATAACTAATGACTAGCGCTCTCGATTATACAATCGATTGATCTAAAAGGGAACTATGCGCTATACTATAGAGTAATCCAGAGGTAAGCTAATCACTATACCAACGATAAATCAACAGGGAAAGTATTTACCAAACTATCGAGTTGTTTAGAGGGAAACTACTCAATGTAATATCTAGGAGTAAAGAAGGAAACTAATCTCTATACTACCGAGTAAACAAGAGCGAAAGTAATTACTATACTATCGAGTAAACTAGAGGGAGACTAAACGCTATACTATCGAGGAATTAAGAGGGAAACTACGCACTATACTCTCAGTCAAGAGGGAAACTAGTCGTTATAATATCGAGTAATTAAGAAATAAAACAGTCACTATATTTTTGAGGAAACAAGAGGGCAAATAATCATCGAGTCATCTAGACGGAAAGTAATCACTATACTATCGGATAGTTGAAGGGGAAATCAATCACTATACTATCGATGAATCAAAAGGAGAAGTAATCACTATACTATCGAGCAATCTTACGGCAGATTAACCACCATGCTATCGTGTAATCTAAATACTTTACTATCGAAGACTCAAGAGGAAAATAATCACTATACTATCAGACAGTTAAAAGAGAAACTAATCGCTAGGCTAAAGAAGAAGCAATAGGAAAATTATTCACTGCAGTAATACAGTGGGTCCAACGACCCCTCGATCGCCTCTCTTAAGGGAATGTCAATCCCTTCGAGGAGCTGAGCTGGAAAACTAGTCACAATACTATCGAGGAAGAAACCTGTTCATAAACGTTGAATTTATAGTATTACTATAGCAAGGAAAGGGAAACCGGATATTAAATTACCATAAACTTTAGAGTGAAACAAGCTACATAGAGATGGAAAGGCTGTTAATTCCTTTTTTTTTTGTTATGGATGAATAGCAATTTTTGTCACATATACAAACTAAATATATTTTTTGCTTTCCTAACTTACGGCACTTCTGATATTTTTATTTGCTTATAGCTTACGTATATTGCTTATCTCCTTAATTGAACCATTAATAATTATAATAAACAAATTATTTTCTTTAAAGACCAGAACATCTGTTAACACATTGTCCTCTTTTTATATAAGAACACACCTTATAAAAATATGTTTAGTAAAATAAATTAACCGTACAACCATTTTTATTTTTTTTTTTTTACTACTTTTCAGAATCCCCTACAGTTGACGCGCGTACGCCATATAACAACCAGCTGGCTTCAGCCGTACGCCGCCGCACATTGTTGTTCTTCTTATTGCAATGCATCGATCTTTGAAACCACACGCACAAGCTAAAAAGGTACCACCACCTGCGCTACCCGGAGATCCCGCACCACAACAACCGCCTACACCATTGTATCGTTTAGGTGGCAGTATTTCGAGCGCAGCTGGTAAACAGCTGGATGATGGCATTATAATGAGTAGCATGGTATCGTCACCATCATTGGAGGAGGGCGGTTTCAATTTGCCACGTGAGCCATCGGTAGCATTGCGCATGAAAGGTATGTACTTTTGTGTATGTGAGTACTAGAATTCTTCGGAATGTATGTCTTTAAAATATTCTACACTTTGTTTACATTATCTCATTTCATTTATTTTCTTTATGCATCTTGTTTTCTCCTTTACTTTTTAGATGAAATAAGCGAATACGCTACAGCCATGTCTACATCAGGCACATCACAATCGTCGGGCTCCTCTGCCGGTATTGCTGCAGCAGGCAAACAACAATCGGCTAATCAAGCCGCAACCGCCGGCGCAACACTCTTATCCACCGCAAATAATCCGCTGCTCAGCGGTTGTCCACCCACAATAGTGCCATGTCCACCGCCCGTATTTTGCGCCACACTACGCGAACCGCTCACACACAAAGCGGCCGTCTACTATCATCAACAATTGGCGCTGCAGGAAGATCAGGGCATCGATCTGACACAATCGCCAGGTCGCGATTCGCCCGGTTCGTCGTCAGGTTCAGCTGGTTCTGGTTCGCGACATTCAACAGCCAGCTTAGATTCGGGTCGTGCCTCATCGTATTTAACTGGTGTCTCCGGTGCATCGATACGCGGCAGTGCGGGCGGTGCGCTATCGTCGCCACGTTGCAGTTCGGTGAGCTCATGTTCGATTGGGAGTGTGGATCGACAACGTAACGATGAACTCATCATCGATTGGTTGATGGAGATGAAGTATGAGGAGTATGCACAATTGTTTATAGCGGCCGGTTACGATTTACCGACCATTGCACGAATGACCCCCGAAGATTTGACAGCGATTGGCATAAAAAATCCACATCATCGTGAACGCATAAAACAACGTATCGATAAGTTGCAAGTATTGGATAACTTGCCGCACTTTGTACCGGTAAGTCTAGTTTAAAGTGAATACACTACGTGCTGATAGACATAAATGCAATGTATGCAGATAACGAGTTAGCGAAGCCGAGTTAGGGCAATACAAGTAGAAAGTATGTAGCTGGTTTTATTACGCTTTTCACATTTTTGTGTGGGTGTTTTATGGTAGATCGACTGGTTGCTGTACATTTTATGGGAATTCGAATAGACCGCATAAAAAATGGCAAATAATTTAATTGAAAACGAGTCAGATAAATCAATAGTGAAATATAATACCCTAAACTGAGCTAAGCTGTGGAAGAAAAGCTTTTGAATTGCATATTGCGAGTATGCAAAATTGTCTCCCGATTCTTAAAGCTGCTGGAAGTTATGTGGGTGGCAATGAGTTTCGCACGTTATTAATACTTAATATTCAGTGATTGAGGGTGAGGCTTGGCGGCAGCCGGAGTATGGAAGGTCAATTAATTATCAGCTTTCAGCAGCACTGACAGCCTTTGATTTGCACACGTTTTTTTAGTTTATGCAAATAACTGTGAGCTTATAAATTTATTTATTTTATTGCTATTTATTTATTGTGCATTAAAAGTTGAAAGGAAAAGTGTTGGTTAAAAAATGTAAAGCTGAGGTTGTGGCGCCAATACTATCCACTATACTATCGAGGAACTATAATGAACAAACAGAATGATGTTGCGATGGGAATAATAAAAAGTATGCTATCGAGGAATTATTATGAACAAATTATAATAAAAAAAAAATAAAAAATTCTAAAGAAAAAAATTAACGTTTGATAATATGTTTTTTATAATTAATTTCAGATAAAAAAACTGTATTTATTTCTGTCAAGCTAAAAATCAGGTGTGAAATTAATCTATAAAAAAATAAACATTGGGATATAATGTGTGTGGTAGTAGTGCTACAATATTTGTATAATGATAAATGCTAATCATTTTTTTCCCTATCACGATTTGTGATTTAGTTCAAAGTGATAACCAACAAAAATCAACAATGATATTAACCACTATACTATCGAGGAATTAACAATTAAACTTATACTTACTGTGAACTTATCTATGTCTTATGTCTAATTTAGAAGTTATAACCCACCCAATGAAGTGTTAAAGTGAACTCTACAAGTGAGGAACTAAAACTATTATACATTTTCATAGTAAGAATGTAAATAACAAAGGCAAGAAAATTGTAAGTGTTACTATCGACGTAACTATTGAAATTATGTTGAGGCTCATATGAAGGAATTGAAAGTGGTATCTTTTTAACGAGGGTAAACCTTAAATAAAATAGCTTCTAAATATGAGCCCATGAATACCACTAACCTCTTTTTTATTATTTAAAATATATTGAATAGATTTGTGATTGATACGAACCACTATACTATCGAGCATTTTACATTTATAAATACCATTCTCCACTGAGTGCAAGTGATTTTTAGAACTAGTTGAATGTTAGCACTAGTATTTATGACATACACTAATCCCTTTATTGTTAATAAACTAAAAGCGATTGCTGTTTATGACTGATACTAATCACTGTACTATCGAGGAGCTAAAAGTGATTGGTAGTAACAAGTTTTGTATTTATCCGAAAAGTGAAGCTGAGCCAGTGAGTCAAACTAATTAGAATAGAAAGTGCATTTTTTAAGTTGAGTTGAATGTGAATAATATTTTGAATGATACTAACCACTATACATCGACAAACTGCGAGTGATACATTTGCAATAAATTAAAGGGAAACTATAACGCCGCGGTAGCCGAGTGGTTAGCATTGCGTACTGCCATTTGGAAGACACGGGTTCAAATTCACATGGGACCAACATCAAAAAGTTATAGAAAATTAACTTAAATTAAAAATTAAGCTAAATTTTCTATTTGCGGTCGCGCCTTGGCAGGGAATGTCAACCCCACCGAACTTATTTCTGACATGAAATAAAAGCCGATCGGAGGCGGCTTAGTATAAACTGTAGGTCCCTCCATTTGTTGGAAAAACATCAAGACGCAAAACCATAACTTGGAGGAGAAGCTCGGCGGAAAATCGCGTGTGATTTTGAGATTCAGCTGAGACTAACCATTTTACTTTCGAGAAAGTGAAAGTAAATTTAGTAAATGACACTAATAAACGAACTAAAAATCGTGCAAGATTTTTTTAGTTTCAATACGAGAGGATTAACGGAAGTTCGGTATGATGACTAGAAAAAGATAATAAAAAATTATTTTTGAATTTATTCGTAATTTTTGCCCTTTCTTTTTATCTTTTCTACATAATCGCATTTCTTCTGCTTATAGATCCACTTCTGAGAACAGTCTTCAAAATCTTGCTGTTTAAGCTTATGAATTTCAGCATGAACGCCGTTAATTATCTTCTCGTTGCTTTATCCGGAGACGGGCTGGATGTATTTCTTCGATTGCAGAGATCGCAATATAAATACTCGTTATTTCAGCAGTGTGGACTGGCGCGTTGTCACGATGTAAAAAGTAGCGCTGCAAACCCTATTTCTCAGAGTTTCCCAACAAATTTTAGAAAACTTTTGGTAAACATTCTTCGGTGTATCTTTTGGCAGTTATTCCAGTGGAATAAAGTAGGGTAAACTGACATCATTACTTTTGCTGCTTATTTTTGTTGCTTAGATTTCGCGAGTAGGTTTGCTCCTGTTGGGCTTCATACCATGGACAGTTTTTTGCTTTATGAATCTTACTTATCGAACTAAGATTCGTCACCAGTAGCGACTTTAGTGGATAGACTGACCATTTTTCCAAACATCTATTTGGGCCTCATGTAAAATTCGTTGTGTTTACTTACTTACTTTACTGACGTAGACACCGCTTACATGATTATAGCCGCGTTAACAACATTTCGCCATTCGTTTCTTCTTTGTGAAGTTCTTCGTCAATTGAAAATGCCAGGCCCTTCTCTTCCTGGTCTTCCTCTTCCCCTGCCTCACTGGCGGGTACCGCATCACTGAACAGATTTCTACATTGATACCATGTGATTACTTAGCAATTAGTTCTTGTGCCAATCGTGGGTTTTCATCAATTTTGTACTTCACTGGAGCTAAGTGGAAGATTTTGGTCGACCTTCTAGGGTCTCGCCCTCTATGGAAAAATGTCCGGGTCTGGAATCTTTGTATCTACTTAGAAATAGTTTTTGAAGACAGTGCAAATGTTCCATATGCAACTTGGTATTCACTGCATATTTGTATAGGCTGTAAATCACGCCGAAAAACGAAAGGAATCACTTGGCGAATTTGCGCTTTCTCGTCCCCATTTCAGCCGATCGTTTTAAAATTCGAAAGTAAAACTAATAACTAATAAAATAATAGCAAAGGATTTGGTAGATTCAACAAAAACAAATTGAAAGACACCAACTGACCAACCTTCTGTTAATCCCCTCGCATGGTCTCTGGCGGGGTCAACGTTACGAAATTTAATCTGGCTTAATTATGTTGTTCTGATCTGGTAGTTGAAAGCTACGTAAAATAAAATTAAATTTGTGCAAATTTGAAAAAAAAAACTTAAAAATAGTTGCTATAAAAATACAGCATGATTTCGCACACAGTATTTCCCACATTAACCTGTGAAATATCGACATACAGCTGTTTATCAATAACCTGCTGTTTAAATTGACATATTTTTCATAAACCCACACAATAAATGATAATTTCCAAAAATCGCATGCAAATTTATAAAGACGCAAGTAAATTTACAATTGCAGGAATGCAAAATGGCATGGCATATTTCATGAGTTAACGGCTTTTGACTTGCAAAAAAAAAAATATATATATATACAAAAAACAGAAAATCGAGTCAACTGTTGATCTAGTACATGCAATTTGTTGTGTGGGTTGCGCGTTCGAACAGGTTCGTCGTTGTTATCGTTGTTTTAACTACAAAAGGCTTATTTCTTTTTCTTTTACAAAAACCTACAAGCAATCGATCTTGTTTTTTCCTCACACAACTTACATACGTGACTTTCATTGCAATTTCGATTGCACTTTTCATAATGCGTTCAAGCCTGTTGGTGTGCAATTTCTACGACAGACATTTAACTGAGTTATTTCCTGCCGTTCGTACACAATATTCCATGCATATCACATACATACATATGTACGTATGTTTATAGAATGTTACTGATTCATTTATTTACTTAACGTTAAGTCGTTGACGATAACAGCCGATATACAATAATAATGTACTTAATAATAATAAGAAATTAAAAATAATAATAATAATAATTACTCGCCTGTTTTTCCAGCGATATGGCTTACTAGCGATATTTGTGCATTTTTTTTTTTTTTTGTTTTCTTTCTGCTTTTATTTTTTGTGGTATATGCAACATGAATGCAATGCGAATGATGCCATGTCAACACTTGTGTGACGAACGGTTACACATTCCACTGTTCCATGCGAAACTACCTACACATAACGTCGAGTCAACGACAGCAACGAACGGTGTTTATTTTTGTTTATCATTGAGGTTTTTTTTTTTTATTTTACCGCTTACAGCCGTGACTGTTTTCACCGTAAATTTTGCATTTTGTCGATTTTCTCTGTCTTTTTGTTGATTTTATTCCTTTTTTTTGCAATCACCATAAAAATCGCCATTTAGCTGTTATTGCTTTTCGCAAGTACAAACAAACGCTAATTTACTTAGACACTTGTGGCGTAGTGTTGTGGATGGTTGGTTTAGTTTATCTCATATTGTTTTTAGCTTTTTGATATGCCTTTTCTGTCCTTATGCGCTTGTGTTTATTTTCATTGTATATTTTGCTGTTATTTGTTTTTGTTTTTAATAAATATTGTTTACTTGTTGCACTTCGGGATTTTAGATAAGCATACTGTTATGCTGGGGTTTTAAAAAATAAATTTTCTTAGCATTCTCTGACTCTAATAAAATATGATATGTATCAAAGTATGGCATAATAATCAAGTACAGCGTTTTCCAGTAAGAGGTGTCATCAGCTTCATCTTAGAGGTCTTGAGTCGACGTTGGCCTGTTGTC